TTAATTACGTTTTAATTAACAGCTATTAGGCTTTTAATTAAGCAAATTTCAATTTTTGTACAAAGCTTTGAACGATCTGTGTGTGTCCAATTCAAGTTGTGTCGGAATTAGTTTTCACGTGTCGAAATCCAACATCTCAACTTAATCATCTATTAATTTATTTACGACTTGAAATCAGTTATGAATGACTTGAAATAGTTATTCACTATTTGGTAGAGCCATGTCAACTGTCAAATTTGACACATTTTTCGATGATCTCACCACGTGGCATGCATTGTCTCTCTTTGGATCTCAATATTTTCCTGCTAGATGGCCAAGACCTAGTGTTTTTGCAGTATTTCAACAGGCAAATGTATGACGTCACCATTTCAACCATCAATGAACGCATGGAACTAAAACAAAGCTTAATATAAAGGAAAAACTAGAGAAGTGACAGAATTACCTACGATGTCGGAATATACCGCGTTTACCCTACTGAAGCGTCGCCATTGCTCGCCAAAGATCTTGCAATATTAATCCACTCTCTGCACAGTGGCCACTAATCACTAAGAGTCTATGGGCTCAATGAGCCTGATGCCTAAAGTTTTGAAATGAAATTTTTGAGTTTCAATCTCCTGCACTTTTGTCTCTCACATAGATTATCTATTTATTTTATTTTTTTCATTATTATTTATTATATTAATTTTTAGTTTCGTTTTTTTCATTAGTTTAACAATCAAAAATTTTTTATTGACTTAAGAGGACATTTTTATTTTTGGCTGATAATAAATTCAAATATTCTCTTTGCTTTTGATCGAATTTAATTCCGAATAGAGTAGGACTTTTTAGCTATACATATAATTATTATATTAATGTCTCTTCAAGCTTTCCTAATTTATATAAAGCCCAGCTGCCCTGCTAGCCTGAGCCAGGCATGTAATATATCTGCTTGGCGAGCCATGACTGAATTTTTTGAGCCACGGTTTTATGGATTTGCCAGCTGTGATTCCATTTCTTTGAGGCTCCATAGTGGAATTCTATGAAGAGAGGTACTTATGGCGGTCTACCGCCGTGCGGCGGTCTTAACCCTTTGCAAGGCCCCATGGTCTCATCACAACCAGTGTGGAATTCTAGAGGGATATTAAATGAACTAGTACACTAGTACTAGTTCGCATATTGGAAAGCAGGACATGAAAGGTTGGAAAGTCCAGGAACTTTCCACTTCCAGTCCATTTTATAATATACATTATACATATCCTATCACTTTTCAACTGTGATTGGTTTATGGGATTGTGATTTTAGCCCCTACCAGCTTTCCAGCTGTGATTGGTTAATGGAGTTGTAATGTTATCTGCTTTCTAGCTGTGATTGGTTGCTGGGGATGCTTTCAAGCTGTGATTGGTTGATGGGGATGCTTTCCAGCTGTGATTGGTTGTGCCCATAAGCCC